CATTTCCAAGTTTCACAAAAAAACCTTCACAATGGCGTTTGATCAGAACATAACAAGTGCACAAAATACTAATTTCCCGACCCTCTCCATTACCACCCCTCCACACCTCCAAATTATCCAAAATGGGTTATTTCACCCCTTGTGAGAACCGCACAAGACTGCGGACTAAAATCATGAAAACAACGAATACTTCTGGAATCCCTTCCGTTTCTTGTGACATTCGTATTAAACTTTGTGTCAAATTTGTTACATCGCAGGATATTGTTTCAATACAAGTTGTTATCCATCCAAAAAGGAACGCAAATGTGAAATTGATCAAGAAACCTGCTCCTACGTGACGAAAACATCATTTCACAGCCATCCACCGTACACTTATGCATCTCCTTCAGATGCACAGCGCTATTGTGGATCTTCAGTGCGCCTTTATCACAAAACGTCTTCAAACATTTCATACACTGTACCCGTCGTTTGCCTGTATTTTTCCCACTCTGCAAAACATTCCTCTTAAACAGTTTCACTCATTCTCTACGATAAATGAAACCACACTACACATATCAGTTCAAATACTTCAGTGACGTGAATTTTTCATTAGCGCTAGCTACGAAAATCATAACCTTATTCTTTGGCCCAATTGGTCCAGAAATAAACTTTTTTCGATTCAAAATTCGAAAGCACTTAGAGGAATACGCTGCACATCCATCCTAGATGAGTGCATTAATGAGTGAACATTAAATCATGGTGCTTGACACCTTGAGAGAATACTTCAGCACATTTACAATGAAGTGGAATAGATATTGCATGAAGGAAGTCTTTTAATAGCCAAAAGACAGTGTACCTTAATCTTAGGTTCTGCTATTTCTGGTTTCAGAATTGTTGCTTCAAATTTCTTGGTGGTAGACGGAGGAGATTCATCGACTAATGAACTTGATTCTTTAGTGTCATCACGGAATTTTTCATGAGATGATGATTCATCCACATCTTTCAGCATATCAACAACACTCAAACGATCACCATTCGCTGATGCGTCACACCCGCTTGTCGATTCCGAGGCTTGTGACCCTATAATAATCCATCGTTTATTTCATTCCGTTCGACCGATTGCATCCTATTTTTCGCCGTCAAACATAGAAGGAAGTTAGTGGCAAGACCGAAATCGCCTTATGGAAGTGGGTTTTACGCATAGCTGAATTAAAAATCAGATAATCCCTTACGGAATTACTGAATAAAACGAATAGCACGGGAATTAAGATTCACATCGCGTTTCGCTCTTAGGAATGATGAATGGTGCCCAAATATGTGTAACACTGAAGTGATGCTGAATGTCACCACCGAGTGAACGAATAAACATTTAGGATGATGAATTATATGCGAACACATTCATCATTATCCTCGTCATACTCATGACGCAACAAATGAATCATTACTACCAATTTTTAGCATTATGAATGGTTAACACTCAACTAATGAGAACGCTAAAGATAGTTAATGAATAGGTAATGAACATTCAGTGTCAGTGTTTTCATGGGATCCAAACGTTTGAGTTCCGATTCTAGGATTTATGCTCTGAAGAAATCTGGGATTTGGAGATTTGATAAAACACGATATTCAGATAATCTTGATAATATATTGACTTGAGTTACACAATAATCATTCTCGGTTCAACCATATTCATTGCTATTAAGTAATTTTGGGGTATGGAGCAGTAGGGGCTTCAAAAGCGCAGGATTCCGGCTTCGCATTTCGTGAAATTTCGGCTCCGACCCAAGCTCTGAAATTTCATCTGCTCCGCTCCAGCTCCGACTGCGGAACAATCCCAATCCCGATATATTGTGCATTGTAGTACAGGCCTCAACTCCGACTGATGAATTCTGCTACGATGTTTTTTAAANAAAGGCCATTTTTTTGGCTTTGAAGCGTAGGCATCATGAGTGAAGACCAAAATTTCTTGGAAATGCACTTTCACTGGTCGACAATCTAATCATGGAAGAATCTTTGTGAAATATTTTTCATAAGCACAAAAGTGCCTGAGCTATAAATTCCTTATGCTGAAATATGTTGTCACTCTGGATTCATAACATCATCACTGAGGCCTGAATTTTCCTTATTCGATGATGCCTGCATGCATCCAGTCATTGAATAATGATGTGCTGTGATGAGTTGATATGAATTTCAATCGGTACTTCATGAAAGGAAATGCTCACTTGGTCGTCTTGGTGTATGGCATAAATTTTGATGCTGTTGATTGAGGTTTGCGGGCACTGCAATTGACACAGTTGCATCGGTTGTAATGGAATGTGTTGCATCCGGGACGGGTGAAATGGGTGCCTGAGCTATCTGAGGCCAACAATTCTGAAGCATGGTCGGCATCAGCGAGTTTCGCAACGAGTCGACAATCGCAGAGCATGACGGCACGGCAACGAAACGATCCATTTGTTGCAATTCACACTGAACGCTCGCACAATTCCAACTTGTCAGCTGCTTTCCGGTTTTTGGATCCTGCAAATTACGAATGGTACGCAATGATTTTTGGCTGGTTTTCGTTTTCGAAGAGAAACTGAGTTGTAACTCTATTTTGCGAAAGCATCACAACACAGAGCATAAAACAACTTCAGCGTTTNAACTTTAATCCTATCAGCTTTCAAATCCATCGATAAAATTGGCTTGAAATGTAGCCCACAGGTTTACGTCATGCATTGCTTGCAATTCCAGTAGTAATCATCGCATGGCTTCACAATCATTGTCAGTGAATTATAGGACTCATCCAATCGATACACGTTCATTACACTGATAAAAAAGCAAAGATGAAATGATACGGTAGATAAAAAATCGCAACGACCAATAAATACCATCGGGATACAACGAAATGCAACGATATGCAACAAACACAACAATTTAAGACAATAAAATTACAACATCAAAATGAGTTGCACCAAATGTTTTTGACGAGTGCAAACGTACGAATTGAATGCGGATGTGGGAAGATAGGCACGTATGCATCATGGCTGTCATTCGTTGATCACTATTGTCTGACAGCACGAATCACGATCAACGTTACCAGTCTCAACTCATAATTCTTGCTGCTTACTTTCAACAACAAATAACGTCCTCCAAAAACATTTTCTCATAGATTATTCCAGCAAAAAACTCATTCCTTATCATTGTATCACGCTATCATATTTCTGTCCAATCACATAATTACACAGGTTTAGTTTGGGTGCTTCCGGGAGCTTAAAAAAAACGAATTCAATACGTTTGAGATGCTTCAATGTCATCCTATTTAATCACCCCTAATCACGGCGAAACAATACAGTGGAACGAATAGGATATGATGACCACCTATGATTACTGTATTTGATTGTATTCGAGTCCATATCCACTGAACTCTTCACCGGTTATCGTCCGTACCCAATTCAAAGCACTGTATTCTTTCACAAGTCAGCAATCGTACATTTTGCACTGTCGCAAGGCCAACTACCGTATTTTTCAGTCTCTTTGAGCTTTGAAAACGATTCTGCTCTGCAAGGACACGATCAAATAGGCAAATCAACTAAATTTGGTGCAACTCATACGCCAAATACAGTCACAATCTAGACACATTTACATTATCGTCATGTGGTGGTGTGCTCACTTTGAATGCACTCTGGCGTTTAGCAGACGATTGTGATAGTGATAACGCAGAGAAGTTCTTCAGCTTTGTCGATGGTACTGAATCCATTCTGCAATCAACAATCAAACAGTTACGGACGTAATCGATGGATGATCAGTCCCGCACAGAGATGTGATAGAATTTCGACAATGGTATGATAATGATCGTAGTCACAAAGACATCTGCATGATGAAGTGAAAGACAGGCACATTTGTGGCTAAACTTTTTAAAAGTTGAGAAAATGCACGACAATACGCACTAATAACACATGAAACCAATTTGATAGCCAAAACGAGGCATTAATATCGCTGTAAGCATCAGAAAGGCTGAAGATACGTCGTCGACCAATCATACGTTAATGCAGCAGTGATAAATATAATGATAAACAAATTTGTTGAAATAAAATGTCAATATTGATCTAAAAATTTCGTCTAAAGAATGAGGATGTCGCTGCTTTGCATTAACTTTTGAAACGTGTATGTACGTATTCGAAAAGAACACATGCGGTTCACTGAGATAGAATTCACGGACTAATTTGACGGCAAACAATAAATGAAACATGTGCATTCAATCAATGAGGCATCACCGAAAACATTTAAAAAATTGTAAATTCGGACTGATTTGATGTCGATATTAAAGTCACACACACACTTCATCCACACAAAACAGATGTCAAACACAAATGTCATTTTACGAGAACGTGACTCATAATCAAAGTGAACTTCTCGCAGCCATAAACACCTCTCATAATAAACAAGCAGTTCTCAGTCACCATATTTCCATCAAACTGTGAAGGGAACTTGAACTATGTACAGAGGCAGAAGGTTATGAAAGTTGTGCTACCGAAGCTTACACTTTATAAAGACAATAACGATATCCAATATGGAACCGTGAGTTCAATCAAGTATTACAAATTCCAAATCAACGAAAAATTGAAAGAAAAGTCCAGCATATGCAACATAGCACAAGAGCTGTGGTATAACTTAATACAGCAGTAATAAAAGATTAAATAGTCATATATTCCAATTTGCTGATGCATGGAACATATATAACAATTGAAGAATGTATCTTCGTACGATATCCATATGTATCATACAATCATCCATATTATTGTGGCTGTTTGCTCAGGCAGACGCTGATATGAAAACATATTACTTCGGTTAGCTGTCACTATTTGATTTCATTGTTGAATTAAAAGAGAACACGAAGAAAATGGTTTCTGGACTGAGTGCGTTTTGTGTGATTGATGTTTCATGGATTACTGATTGTATCAGTTTTTGATGGCGAAAGAGACAATAGACGAACTAGGGAGGATGTGTCGTTTGATGAGACTGCAGTTGAGCGTTGCGCATCTGAGGAGGGTCTCGATTGAGGATGTCGATGCTAGGATACTGCATCTTTTGAATGTGAATATGGGTCATAAGGCTGTTGATTGGCAATTTCAATGAAATGTTTAATAGGTATGTAGCTACTTAAATTGTGTATGTCAAACAAGGCCACATCAATGGATGCGTCTATGAATGTTTGTGTTCATATTCTAGCTTTACAGCTTATTGTTAGCTTATACAATAACTGCTAGCTGGTATCATTAAGGCAGTCAGTTATTCTAACATTCACTGTCGTGTGATCAAACGATGCGATGACATATCATCACAGAGGTGAGATACTAGAAGAGGAGACGCGAGACACATCAAATAAGCAATATCAACTGCACATGAGATGACTCAATTATTTTTGATGGTGTTGAGGGCCATTGAAATGGAAAACCGAGGTGACAATTACTGGCGAGAAAGGATCACATAAATGGTGTATAAGAGGCATCTTATGAGATGAAGCGAACCACTTCTTATGTTTAACAGATGAATCCTGGATGACATTTTCTGATATATGGCGTGACAATCTAAATTTGCTGCTCACTGCGCCCATATACCGACCAAAAAGATAGTCAATTCACAACTGTGAACATAAAAGCACTCACATACATGACCATCCGAAAAAAAATTAAATCAACCTGGTCCTCTTCATCAAACGTGTTCAGGCAAACTATATACCTTTCGCAGAATGTTTCAGCCTCAAAAAGTAGTTGTATTTTACACGCTCTATTCATGTACCGCAGTCCACGAACTCAACAAGGAAATATTATAGATTCAATATCTTTATTAGATGCTTGATGACAAGCGAACTTAATCAGGACTTTGTCTTCCTGGATTTTGATATTCTTACATTCATTTTTGATATCCTTACGTTTTTGATTTCCTTACATGTTGACGATTTGCGTAGGCGCAAATCGCCTAACAATAAGTAAAAATTTTAAAGCTGACAATTGGATATGTAAGTGGTGCTTTGCAATATTCATCCTACTCGTGCTCACCTCACTGCACTCAATGATAGTTACTGCCTCCAGGAATGTGAGTTTGAGATACTGAGTTTAGTGATGATAAACAACAGCAAGAAACGAGTTTGTGTGGATGATGATTATTTACGATGATAGTTATCAGTTGAAAAGTATCGAAGATAAAAGGCGTGTTGTGAGCTGAAATGGACCGATCATTCACAGAGGATAGGAAGATTTCAAAGGATAAAAAAACAAATTGAAACAATAAATTCGGATTATCGATGTTGCTTTGGAAGTGAAATGACATATAGTAGTTTGGAATGAGGAAGAAGTGAAGTATTCTTATCATCGTTCTCAGAACATTTGACAGTGTTCCATTCATTCGAGCAATTCAAGAGTATGCTCATAAAAGCATCATTACGATCATTCGAAAATAACCAACTGTTTTCTAGATATTATCCTATCAAATCAATGATTTAACAACCTCTGAATGCTTCTTGATACTTATCACCTACATTTATAATTTTGGAATAGCTTTTGACTACCTCAATGACAGGAAAATTAGGGCTGAAAGAAATCAGAAGACTCATTCCCTCCCAACAGTCAGATCTAAGAACACCAACAACGATTCCAACCCGAATTCAATCCACTTATGCATTCGAAAATGACTGATCGACACCAGCAGAAGCTTGTGAAAGTGAAGATACAAGTAAGATGTGTTTGAGGAGTACATGAAAGGATGACGCAACTGACACCGAATCGAATTATGGAATGGTACCATCGATGGAAAAATTATCACTAAAATGGTGTTGGTGTGATATAAGAGAGACGGAAAATTCAAAGACTTGAAGATGGATACTCTAAAAAAACAAACGAAAATTATGGTGTTCGTTTCGTTGCGATTGGATATAGCTCGAATGTGATGTCAACTGGATAATGCGGCATTTAATAGGCACATAGATACGCAGATAAATTCATATAAACACATATCAAAGCTGCCTGCGTCTTCTTTTCATCAACAACCTCTTTATAATCGAACCAAAACACAAACAAATCTTTTTACTCGTTCTCAATTATTCATCTATCCGCTGCCATCTTCGTGCACTGTTTATATCCGTTATCTTCGGAGCACTTTAGTGTGTTGATTTGTTCATGTATTTGCGGTCCAATCCAGTTCTTTTTTCTTCGTGTGGTGTTTTTAATGAAAAAGTGATAATCAGGATGTGACCGGATCGGATATGAAGACAGAGGAAATTTGCACAGCATAAATGCTCCTTTGAACGGACACTTGTATGAGCATTTATATGTTATATGTATGTGTTTACATAATATGAATATCATCTGCTCATTTGTATGCATTCAGATAGTTAAGGATGTATGCATGTGTTTATTCGTATGCGTGTTCCAAGCACTAATTTATCCAGTAGCTGGCATTTCCGCTCTTCGCTTTCGCTTTTAACTAATGTCTCATGTCTGAATCCGTCGCTAACGACAATCTCATCGGCAACCCAAAAACACTCAATGACAATCATCAAAAAACGATGACTGAAATGAAGTCCTATCTCCCTGAACCAGTTGATCAGATTATCATGATACCATGGTTTCTTACACTGTTCAAATCCAATATTCTTCTGCCAACCTATCAATTTCCAGCATCTTTCTAAATATGCAATGAAATTCCATACCATCCTCACCCAACGTCATCAAGAAGAAACTGATTGAAAGAATATAATAAGCCATAAATTTGCAGGCAAAAGAATAACTGCTTCCTAAACAGAGATATAATGGAAACATATCCACCCCAACTTTTTCCAGTTCATAAAAGAAAAATCTTGCAACCACCTGAATTTCCAGTCTATTTGTTCTGCACACCCATTTGTCATATATCGCACTTGTCTACCACCCGTCGCCATACGATGACTTCGATTAAAATGCAACGAGACACGCTCATTTCACTCATTTGCACACACAAATAGAGCATACACCAGACAAACATTATGATCAAAAAGAGCACACACATTCACTTAGGTCTATACGAGCATACAACCAACACATCTGCATAATGTTTCTCATCTTTTCTTGTCTGTCGCTTATCTTGACATTTCTGTTCTATCGTCAAAAACTACCGTATATTTTGGAGGAAATGGGCGAAAAATGTGACTGCTGACAATGATTAGTGGATGCCTGTGTCGCAGCTAGTAATTCACAATTGATGTGCAGCACGGGGAACTGGATGAGTTGACTGCTTATGTGCTCGACTGATGATAGCGTTACGTAGCTGTTTTAGAGAACGTGAATCACTTCACAGAACTTCAATGGAAATATTTTCAACTGCTCGAATGCTACAAAAAAAAAGAAGGCAACTTATCGTGGTGTTGTGGGACAATCCATTCGACTAATTCAACTAGTGACTATCGGTGACGATCTTGATTCGAGCTCAATGTTAAACTCACCAAAGCCTCAGTTTTTCCAGCACTTTTTCGTACCATTCATAACTGAAGGGAACAGTTGAGACTGTTTCATTGGACACGATGAAATGGAGCAGTGCACACGTTTGTATGTAGAAACAAGTCAAAATTGTTCGCATGCAATGCAAATTCAAAATCGAATGAACGAATCACTTGCTAATTGAACTCAACGCGAATCCATTCGGACAGATGATGGCGGGTCTCACTATTTGTTTAGGTTTCAAAAGAAACGTCGTTACTGTGAATATACGCAAATGTTCTGATGG